TCTCCCCCCTCTGTCTTTCTCTCTCTCTCCCTCCTTCCGTCTCCCTCTATCTCTCTCCCCCCTCCCTCTGTCTCTCTCTCTCTCCCCCCTCCCTCTGTCTCTCTCTCTCCCTCCCTCCGTCTCTGTCTGTCTCTCTCTCCCTCTGTCTCTCACTCTGCCTTTGTCTCTGTCTTTCTCTCTCCCTCCCTCTTTCTCTCTCTCTCTCCTTCTCTTTGTCTCTTTCTGTCTCTCCCTGTGTCTGTGATTGATGTGTGCAGTATGCAAACTCCACCCCGGGCATTTCGTCTCTCGGAGAAAGAGAGGAGAGAGAGAGAGAGGAGGAGGAGGGGAAGAAGACGAAATAAAGCAGGGCAGGAGGGAGTTGGAGAGGGAGAAGCAGCAGTTCAGGAGAGAGGCTCCTTGCACAGACAGACAGAGAGAGAGGGAGGATGAGGCTGCTCTGTGTCCCCGGCTCGATGCTCAGTTATAAAGGGACAACTTTCCCCTTGATCGCTGCTAAACTCGCTCAGAAATCTTTCCCGTTTCCAGCCCCCCTCAGTCTGTAAAAGCTGCTTCCAAAGCGGCGCGGATTCGGCTCGTCCGCCCGCAGTTTAAAGCTGTGCAGAAGGAGAGAGGGAGTGAGAAAAAGGAGAGAGGGAGGGGGGCGAAGGCTTTTAAACAGCAACAAAAAGAAACTCGAGGGGAAGATGATGTCGACTGGAAAAATCTGGAGTGGATTTAATGTCCGTGTGTTGTTCACCTTGCTGGAAGTCTGGGAGATTTCTGGAGAGACTCTGGAGCCTATTTATTGGAATTCGCTGAATAGACGGTAAATTCTCTGTTTAGCTGGTACATGCCCTCAGACACTGGGGAAAGAGTTTGTTCAGTTAGAAATCCATGCTGTTTCCCAGTCTCTACAAAACTCCCCCCCCCCCCCCCGGTTCGCTTCATTTGCTGAGTTTTAGTCGTTTATTTCAGAGAAAGAGAAAGAATGCTACATTTAGCTGCTTGGGGATCCGATCGCAGCTTCAAAATACTTTATTTTTGTTTCTTGGTGGCGTAACTTTATAAACTTTTGTTTGTTTGTTTAAAAGTTGCACCCTGCGTTTGAGGAGAGAGAGCCCCTCCCTCTGATTCAAATATCGAGGAGGTTTATTTAAACGTCAGTGATAGTCGGAGAGTTTGGAATTTGGGTTTTTGTAATGATTGTTTATTAAGAGTTAGGAGTGTGCTGTTTGTGAGAGAGACAGACCATCTTTGAACGATCTCTCTCTCTCTCTTGAAATCAAAGGCTTTAGCTGGATTTCTCAAAGAGATGTTGAATTTTAATGTTTCAGTTCAGCCCCCCTCCAAAAAATATACCCTTTCCTAGAGTGTGTGACCAAGGGGATGCTGCCCCCTTACCCAGCCATTTATTGGGGGGGTTGGGGAATTGGTACCAGATAGAAATGAAACCTTGCTTTCTGCAGTTTTAATCCCTCCCCAAATCTTTATTCCATCCCAATCTGCTTCCTGCTTCCCCCCACTTTTCCCTTTCTGTTGGGGGGAGTGGGGTCTCTGGGGAGCATTTGTCCCCAGCGTTGAGGGCATCTGGTGGAAATAACACACACACACATCCCAATGACCACCCCCCCAATACCACATTCAGTCACGGTATCCCCTTTGCCTGGGGATCAGCTCCCAGGGTTGGGAGGGTCTGTGGGAGGGGTGGAGACAGGATGAAGTGAACTGGCCGATTCCCATGTGTCCCCCCCCTCCCTCCCTTCCCCCCACCGCTGGGTTCGCAGGGCAGAGAATCAAACACCAATATCCGACCAAAAGGCAC